CTTTAGAGGATATTTCACTTTTGCAAAAGTTACTTATGTAAACTTGTGATTTTTTCTCTTCTCATAAAAAATCAAATCGATATTTTCAAACATATCCTTCATTATAACCAACATGTATTGTTCAACCTCCCTACTTAGCTACGCTACTATGCTAATATGATATGCAAACATACTGATATGATTTTCGAATATGAATCAACTAATTGCTTCATAATTATTTTGAGAAGATTTTTTCATTATTTGGCTTGAATATATATAAATTTTTGAGCTCTTGCTAACCATCTCAATCGTTGGTACTTTTCTTAATATTCATCTGCCTTAAAACTCTCATGCAGTGAGAACACAATAAACCCATCATTTCAAACTTCATGCATGTGCATTGAATACTTCCATCTTATGCTTCAAAATCCACAACCCAAGGATTATAATGATCCTTTTTCTCTTTATAATAGACAAAAAATTTTAAGGAATCACACAAGAAACTCTATACTCATTCCACCAATATCTTATAAAAATTATTCTTCAAAAAATGAATATAATTTCTATGAATAAAATTGAGCAGCTTGCTTTAATATTAGGCCATTTTTTGTTAGAGATTCTATTTCGGACTGGAGGCATTTATAATCCCCATCATGTTCATTCTAGCACCAATTCCTCATTACCTTTTCTAAACCCAGAAACAATCAGTTATAGAACTTGTGGGCTTAGAAATGTCATGACACAAACTATTAGTATACTCGCTAAACTGTATGGATAGAATGCTTGTGTTAAAATAATCCTTATTGAATGTTGTTGATCAATTATTCCTTGTCTAATGAAGATCCTCTAACCAATCATGATTGTGGTGGTTCCCTTCTGTCATCATTTCAACCCATGTTTTCTCAAACTCCCCCTTAGAGTCACATTTGCTGAAAGACTTATGGAACAAGTCTTTAACTTTGTTGTTGCTATTGAAGAATGACACTTTGCTGGAGCCCTTTTATATATATGTCATTGGCATAGTCTATAGTGAGTGTGAGGTACTGCAACTTCTTGGCCCTAGCCATTGTCTGGTCTTGATCCGTAAATATTATTTTTTAATGTTTATGACCCATTATTCACACAAAAGTTATAAACTACAATGTAAATAATTCAATCGTCTCTTATGATAAAAAGGTTACCCCAAGTAAAATATTTTACCAATAATTATTGACTACGATAAATGGTGTGCTTACCAAATTATATTTATTAAGTCTATAATTAGTATAAATAATTATCACAACACCAAAGTAGTCATAATCTATCCTACCAACTCCATCAATCCAAAAAAAATTAACAATATATCAAATTCATCAATTTGAAGATTCCAAGTGAATATGTTGTCATCAGCTTGATAATCTTTAAATAATTGATTCAAAATATTAGTGTTCCCAAATTCAATCTTTATTATTCTCTCTTTTTGAATAGTCACTATAAGTCGAACCGATTGTCCATGAGTAATGCCTTCATGAAATAGAGTTGGTGAGAATGGTCATCTTGGGTGAGAGCGAATGACTGATATAGTCCATGTATGTGACAAGTGTCAAGCCTGTTAGCTTCGGAGAGGAATCCACAATCTGCCTCATATAGGGCGAGCTCCTTGGAAGGATCGATCGAGTAACCCCTTTGGTCATATTGGGAGATTTCTTGTGCAAGTTCCCTAGATGGGCCTCCTTTGATTGTGACTTCCGTTGCTATGAACTATTTATTGTCTGCTAAATATCTATAAAGACGTGAACTAACAAGTTTCCCATGCTAATTTTTTCTCAACTAACCCTAAATTAAGAGGTGGTGAGATATTTAGGTTTCGTTTTGGATGACTTTTTAATATTTTTTAAAGCAGTTTTTTAATACAAAAATTATAATTTTGTATTAAAAAATTATTTTAAGAAGCATGAAGAAGGCCTTCCCAAATAATACCTTAATAATTTTAAATAAAATTTCCTTTTTGATGAACAATCTGGCCAGTCCTACCAAATCGAGTTCGTCTAGACCGATCAGACAAGGCCGGATTGATCCACCAACCTCAAAAGTTCATATTTAACCGTTCATATCTAAGGGTTACTGATCGAACGGCTTCAAACCACAGCACGTGCGACAGAGGCCCGAAGCGATGTACATGCGAGACTCGCACAATTATGGCCCCTTATGTACGAACGCAGCTCGTATTCTCGTAACGACGCCCAGAGAAAGTAAACATTTTCACGGCGAGCCGTCGCACGAAGTCGAGCAAGGTACTCTTTTCTGATTTCTTCTCTTCGCAGCTCCGCCCTTTGTTGCCTTTTAGGTTTTGATTTCGTCCATTTCCGCTTGATGTTTGTTCTCTGCCCCTGATCGTGATTTTGGAAGTCCAACTCATAAAGCTCTTTCCTCAGTTTGCTCCCTTTCATGCGAATTGGCTTCATTCTGTTAGCCACTGGCTTATTAATTTGTTTGAATTGATTTTACATGCTGTTTTTTTGTAAAGAATCTGCGTAACTGAGTAATTCGATAATTATACTTTAAAATTCACTATTTCGATGGAGTGGAACTCGTTTCGCTTATTTAAATATTAAGAGAAGCTAAGGTGCTACTGTTTAGAGTTTAGTCTGGTCTGTGTCTAGGGATATGGATTTCTGGGCGTGTTTACTATTTGTTTGACATCATGGTATTGCCATTTACTTGCATTGATCGCTCTACTGGAGTTACTACTGATTAAAACCCTAATTTGATTTTCTCCAAAGCTGTTTTTTACCTCTTAATCTTAAAAGGAATTTATAACAGTGAATTTGGGTTCGGTGGGGCTTCCTACATATATGCGCAAGATTTATCAAGCGTTTGACATGCACAAGAGATTTAGGATCCAAATTGGCACTTGTTTGTTTGAATCTCCGGTTAATTACCTTTTCCTCTGTTTTTAAAGTAAAAAAAAAAAAATGGAAATTGTCTCCCGTTTCTTAAACGGTTGTTTTGTTTTTTTAAAGTTGAGATTGTACCTGGTAGTCTAATAAAAATTTATGTATATGGTCCTCATGCAAAAATCCCTCTGGAGTATTGGATATTTACTCTAAATAACTAGACATTTTGTAAAACCTCAGGACATTAGAGCACAAGGCAATTTTTGTACCACTTGTCAATACTCAAAATCATGATTTTCCTTGAGGAAAAATTTCACTCCCTTGTATTTATTTAGGGGATTTACGGTTTTGGGTAAATATCTTGCACTTCTGATGCATTTTTCCCATGAAGAGTTTCTAATGCAATTTTTCTTACTCCTACCCAAATACACACACACTCCCCTTCTTAACAAGGAATAGAAGAGCTTTGCTAAACTAGTTATTAATTAGCTTTAAGTAGAAATCCAGAATTCATAATTACTGTTGCAAATACCAATGCCCTGATAGTGGTAAAGGGTGAAACTTATACACTGTTTGCCATATATCTTTGTGCCATTAACATGGCATTGGTGTGGAGTGGTGATATTACATGGTATTGATCTGTTGGTTTATCTTAAATTTTGGAGATAGTCAAATAGATCCTAGCTCTTTGCTCAAAGAAAAGGTTATCTGCCTTGCTTTAAATCAACCCAATAGCAAATCTTATCACTCGTTACACAAATGATTTTTTGTTTCTCAGGTCTTCTTCTAAATATCTTAACTATATAGTTTCAATGGCATAATGATTTTCATCAATTCTTTTTATTAACATATTAACCTGGGAGAAGTGTCATTAACGGATCATGGTGTCTCTGACTATCATGGGGTTCAATAATGATTTTTTGTTAATTCTTCTTCTAAACATCTTAACATGGGAGAACTGTTACTAAAATATCATGGTTTTTCTAACTACACTGAAAAGGAAGAGTACATAAGCCTTTGTTTTTTTGTGGCTCATTTTAGTTAAAATAATTCTTTGGGATATCTTAAGTTTTATTTGTTTGTACTGCTTGGGAGATACTATTCTCGCAAAGTTAAACTTTTCTATGTACAATAAGCCAGAGTTTTTGGCTAGGCACTGCAAATTCCTATTCTTTTTTGGATAGGCACAAATAGTTATCTAAAGGATATTTGGAAAATATTTTTAGTGTGTTTTAGATTACACTACGTGGTCTAATTCTTCCCTCTAAACACCATACAGTGTTTTCTATGTTCCATAAACTTGGCTTGTGGGGAAAGATAACAACATGCACCCTTAGAAAATCTATTTTCATAGGTTATCGTGTGCATTTTTCTACTCAAATAAAAATTAGTTTTTTACTCTTAGTATATTAAACAAATATCTTACAGTTATTTCTATAATCCAAAAAAAAGATGGGCTCAAATAGCTCTTCAATTGTTCATTACTCTCTCTTATTGACCCACATGCTGAAAGTCACATGCTGACAAATTGCCCTTGGTGACTCACTCTCTCACATGTTCGCGTGATTGTTGCTTCTCTAACACCTTCTAATGCTCGCTCTCTTACAACTTGCTTGATCACGGCTTCTCCCATAGTGACTTGCTTGCTCGTCAACCAGTTGGGATCACTTTGTCTTTGCCGACTTGCCTATCTATAACCTTTGTCTTGGCTGCTAGCTTGTTCTCTAATATCTCTGTTTAGTCTCTTACATTGAAGAAGCCAGAGGTCTCTACTCTTTGTTAACACCATTCAATGGATCTCTAAACCTTGTTATAAGGGGAATTCATTAGGAGGTAGCCATTTTGTGGATTTTATAGTATATTTCTCTTTGTTTTTCATACTTGGTTGTTTGTATAAAATACTTTTGTTTGACCCTTATGGCCAGACATTTGTGATATTCACGTCCAATGTTTTATGTTTTTGTTATTATATTTTTGTGGCAGAATATGATTGAAATGTTATAGAGTTTAAATTTTGGAATTTATTACTAAAAGTTTTTTTACTTTGAATTTTGATCATATTTTTTATTTTTGAAATATTTAAATTATAGAAGTCATGAAGCTTTTGCCCCCTAATACTGGGGCTTTTATTTTGCCCCATGGTAGGTAAAACACGCCCCCTTATGTATCCACCGTTTGTTGTTGAGCATTTAAAGTTCTGCATGTGAGCTGTTTAGACAAGCAGACCCAAATAGTTGGGATAAGGCTAATTGCAGTAACCATTAAATCAGCTGTCCAGATGGTATAATTTCTAAGGATGCAAAGGCATTTGTTTATGACCTTCTATTCATGTAATTTTATTAATTGAGCGTTAATTATGCAGAAAGATCCTTTGATCTGCTTCATTTTATTTTTGTGGTTGTGGTTGCCAATGAGGATGAAAATTGTATGTATGACAGGAATTGCATTTCAATGCTTAGCAAAGCCACAAGGCCCATAATCGATTTCCTGATGTTTACTTCTTTACTAATATAATGAGCATCAAGTCTTGATCCCAGAACCATGAGTGGTGCATCTAAAAGGTTGCATGAAGATGGAGGACACTCAACACCTATTAAGAGGTCACATGAAGAGAGTAGTATGTTCTCTGGACTTGGAAAGACGATTCAGCCACATGCTAATGATTTTCACTTGCCTTATGAACCTGGGCATGATGGAAGACCAGTACCTGGGCATGATGGAAGACCAGTAAAAGTCCAACGCATTGATCCTCGGGAAAGTGATAAGAGGCCTTTACATAGACCGTCTTCCTCTCCCAACCATGGTGTGGACCATCCCACTTCTTCTGAGAATAGATCAGAATTGAGAACTTCCAAGGAATCAAGAGATGTAAAAACTGTAATCAGGGAAATAAAGTCAGATACCAGGGATTCTTGCATTGATATAAAGATAGATTCACATGTCAGTAAGGTTGAAAGCGATATAAGAGACCCAAGGGGTGATGAAAAGGAATTAAGATCTGATAGGGGTTCTTACAATGAGTCCAAGGGTGCCGCTAAATTTGAAAGAGATACTTATGCAGCATCTGTGTCTCATACAAGCTGGAAAGAGAGCAAAGATCACATTTGGCCTAAAAGATATACTGAACCTGCTAATGAGAGCATGGAGTCATGGCGAATTGCAAGGCATTTACAAAACACAAATGAAATTGGGAAAGACCAACCAGCAAGGGCTGAGGATAGAAATTCTTTGGGATCATATGAGGGGGTTGCTGAGAACAAGGTTGAATTTAAAGGAGAAGATAAATTCAGGGAAAAGGATAAGAAAAGGAAAGATGATAGACAAAAAGATTTTGGAGATTGGGACAAGGACAGAATTGACCTTAGAGGAAGCATGCAGCTTGGTGAAATCAACAGTGAGAGAAAGGAATCGAAGGAAGATAAAGAATTAGAGAAGTGGGAGAGGGAGCGAAGGGATCTGCTGAAGGACAAGGAACAAAATGATCAGGAGAAAGATTTTGTAAAGAGAGAATCTCCAAATTCTAATGAAAGGGAGAATTCACATTATGTGAAGGAGGTACATGAAGGGTCCGGAAAAATTTCTGACCAGGTTGTTTCATCATCGGATCCTAGGAGGCCTAAAGATGATGGCTGGAAAGTTTCTGATAGGGATCTCAGAGATAAAAAAAGAGAAAGGGATGCAGATGTAGGAGATAGATATGGCCTGCCTGGAAAGTGTTATGAGAAGGACTTGGATGATGGTACTGATGGAGATGGAGGTTTGGATAGAGATAGAGATGCTTTTGGTTATGGTATTCAGCAGCGAAGAAGAATGTTACGGTCCAGAGGCACCACTCAACCGACTCATCGAGAACCTCGTTTTCGATCTAGAGCTCGGGACCATGATGGGTATGATTTTTCAACATGCGTGTGGCATATTTTTACTTTCGGGATCAAAGTTTTTTTTGTTAAATTCCACTTTGCATGCTTGTATATCATAGTTGGCATGCATTCCAATAAGTTGCTTTTTTATTTTTCAATCAAATGCGTGACAATAAGTTGCTGTTGTGGTACTTTTTATTGTTCCATTGTGAGTTCTAATTGATTAAATATGTGCGCAGTTAGAATCAACACCTTACCTTTTCCTTTATTTAAAAATCTATCTTCTGTGATCTTTTTGGTTTTAAACTGCTAAAACCAGTGTGCATGGTGGGGTTCTGACTAATTATAACATGCATTTATTTAAAAGAACAAGGAGACGGTTTAGATTAGCATGACGAGAAATTGTTGAAAGATGCTTTCCGTGCTAGAAACAACACAGTTCATCTTATATAACAAAATTTCATTTTCCTTGGTGACCAAGTATGGATTCATTAGACAGGTCTTGTGCTGTTGCCTGAGAATATATGAAGTTGATCCTGCATAGTTGGTGTCGGCTTAGTGATACAGTTGAAATTTACAACTTTATGATAGGCTGTTGCACATTTCTAGTGGTGTTTGAGTAGGAATTACGACATTTGTCATGTGTTGATACATAATTTCTAACTATTATTTTTGATCTTTTTTGGTTGGAGCATCCCTTCTATTTGACGAGAATACTACAACAACAACATCAAGTCTTTATTCTACTATATGGGGTCGGCTATATGAATCCTTTTTCTCAATTGTGCCCTGTTAGAAGTTAAATTTTCATTTAAACCTAATAAAGAAAGGCTTGATGAGAATGGTGTGCAAATATTTTGTTAGCTGATTGCAATCATTTACTAATGTTTTTTATTGATTTTGATTCTGAGCTTATATATATATACACACACACTTTTTTTTTTTTTTTCATTTGTTGATTTTAACTGTTACAGTTCTGATAATTTGCTCCCCTTTATTCTTTTCAGATCTCAAGGTGAGTTAGTCAAATGACTTGCGTATTTGAGGACCTTGATGATGCAAACAGCTGTTACAATTTTTGGACATGAGCAAACATTTTTTATTGATGACAATCATCTTTTTCTGAAGGGATAAGAAGTCATTAGATTTTTGTTCAAGCTTTTTCTTTTGCAGATTAATTTCAACAAAAATGAGCATAGAAATTTTATTTCCTTTTACTCGTTAAGTCTTTCTGATTTCTTTATGAATATTGCTTGAACCCATAGAAATGCATTTAAAATAAATATGTGGTAGAATAATTTATTTAGAGGGTGGGCAGATGAATGCTTATGTTGTCTTCACTTGGATAAGGTTGCATACATCAATCATTCACTAAACTTTTATTGGCAAAAGCCTCATACAATAGATATGGTTTTTATAAAGAAACTTCTAGTTCAGGAATGGTAATTGTAATAATTATTATTGTGTGACAAGATGTACTGGCATATGAAACAATTTACCAGAATTGAGTTGCTTCTCATATTCCTACGTTTATACTAGTTCTCAAAGCTTTAATGTTCTATCTGTAATTCTGGGAATAATGGGAACTACTCCTTATTGGTGTGGTGTATAAATAGATTTGAATTCTTAAGTTGGAGTTTAAGATGCTAAAGTGACACCAAAAGCAATGCTACCTTAGCTGGTGCAAATTTATCTTTAGTTAGGCCATTGTACGTTATGTTTTTGGTATCTGCGCTGGCATATATATACTGAATTGCTGAAGTGGTATCTGCGCTGGCATATATATACTGAATTGCTGAAGTGATGCGAAACAAAATCCTGATCCCTTGATCTGAAGCCCGTAAGGGTTGCCGGCCATTCATGACCGTTCTCAAGTTTGTTGTTCCTGATCTCACGTGAGCCTGAGATTTCCTTACTATTAACATCTTGATTTGCATGCACTTGTCTGTTGTGATTCACACTTCTCCATCAAACTTATTTTTTTCATCTGTTTTGTGATTTTATATATGTGAGCTTATCCATGACTACCTCTAAGTTCTATTTTCATGAGATAAGCATTGTCAAATTATGTGACCTTTGATCGATTATTTTTGCGGTAACAACAAACTCTTAATTTTTTATTATAATTATGAGGTCTCCAAGGCATATTAACTAAATAAACTCTTGGGTTAATAAAAAAGAATATTGCATATTTGTTGAATACTAATTCCTTTGAGTATGATGTAAGGGAAAATTTTAATTTTTAGAAGTCATTTATTTTTATCATTATGAGGCTTGAATTTTTTTTGGATAATTTCTTGTTTCTTCAGCTCAATTTGATATTCATCTTGTAAGTTTGATTGATTTAAAAATTGACTAAAACTATATTTTTGATTGTGGTACTAATACCAGTTTGTTGGTTTTAAAGTTTTACTAATTTTTTAGTTGGGTAATCATTAAAATTTCTTGTGGCATGAATTTCTCATATTTTTAGGTTATATTAAAAGAAGGCAATATCTTGTTTTACTTGGTGGTTTTTGGAGTTGTGAATTATGTGGTTTTGTATATTGCATCATTTAGTTGTTTTAAAATTCTGGACCTTAGGGCACTGTATCAAATTGGTATCATAATTCGTGATTCCCTCATCTTGTCAACTAGAAGTAGGACAATAATTGCTTTATTCAATAAAATAATAAGTGATCAGTTTAAATGTAATAAGATAAGTTATGGTTCTAGGCACAATAATATGACAATCATGAGATTCAAAATTATATTTCTACACTTGATAGAAGGTTAATCTAAAGGAATTTTTGGAGTGGATCAATAATTTAGAAGATTTTTTTGAAAGATATAATTTTCCTGATTTTCAAAGAGTTGAATGTGCCAAATCAAAATTAGTGGAATATGCTAACTAGTATTGTCAAAGTGTTGTTACTAAATCCACATTGGCTTCTATGATATATAAAGCTTAAAGAGTAACATTTGTCTTTCAATGAATGCAGGGACCATTACATGATCAATTTAGGGCCTATTTGGTTGCAAGTATACAATTTCACGTATTTTGAGAATGCAGTGTGAAGTACATGCGGTGGTTTTTGATTTCTCATGGTTGTTCGGTTGATTTTAAACTTTATGTTGGGAAATTATTTTTCTTATTTGATTGGGTGTAAAGTTCATAGTAATTTGAATAAACAAAACCGAGACATCTTGATAAATATGCAAAGTAGAAGAAATAAATAAAAAAATTAATATTAATTTACCAAACAGAAAACTCTAATCCTAAAGAATGTAATCATAAAATATTAAAAATAAAGCCCAGTGATTTGACGTTAGATGTGGTTGTGTGGGAAGTAGTCAAGGGCTATGTTGGAGGTTGGGTCACAAGTCAGTTGTAGCTCGATGCTGGCGCAAGAGGTGTAGTTGTTGGCCAAGGACAACATAGGAAGTGGGGTTGTAAATCAAGGGCAGCATAGGAAACTTAATGCTGGTAGCTGTTGCACATTGATGATAGCCTGGTGACATCACCAACATCATGAGAGAGGGAACATAGGAAGCAGGAAGGGCTGCAAGATTTCTTCTGTAAGCAATGATGAATTTTTAATTTGCATTGATTGTCAAATTTGGAATGCATTGAAATAGGACTTTTTCGGTTTTTTAAACTCCTGAAAAATTACTTTGCATCACTTTTACTTTGTATTAAATACTTTTAAAAATTATAACTCATTTTTTGTTTATTATATTGCTCAAATGCTCAACCAAGCATTACCTTAAGGATTTTGTAAGCCAAGTGATTTTAATTTGTTTGAGTATTATGTATGGTTTAGAGGACTTGGAGCTAAATATTATTTACCTCTAGCCAAACATTTGAAATGAATTATATTACAATTGACAGAGAATCATGCACGAGGCTTTTTACATTAAGTTTAGATATTGAGGAGTATTATTATAATTCTATTCGGGCTATCACTCCTATAATTAATGCCTTTAAGGAAAAATCATCATATCTCCCTGTAAGGACTATCATATATATATATATATATATCAGTACAAGAATCATGCATGATTGAATTTGATTCCAGTGCTGATATTAGAGTTTATACACCTATGGCTAATGCCTGTACAAAAAAATTATTATTATCTCCCTCTAAGGGCTATCATATACATGCCATCACAAGAATTGTGCATGATTGAATTTGATTCTAGTGATGATATTAGAGTTTATAAATAATTTATTTTAGGTTGTTCTGGATAGAAGAAGATTTACAATTACAATATGAATTTACACGTTGTTATTGAATCATAATATACTCCATAATAACATGTTCATGAATCTGAATCTATTCTCGAATAAGGGTCTAGATTTGAAACTGAAATCGGGGTACATCATCATATTTGAACTTGAACCAGTAGCAATGATCATATTCCTGAATTTGAAGTTGACCAATCATGTCCATTGAAGTTTATGAATCAAGTAATCAACAGAGCAATTTAAAAATGCAACTCTTGATTAGTTATCTAATGTTAATTTTGACTTTAGTTCTTTATTTCTTGATATATATATATATATATATATTACTAAAGAAATCTTGTGATGAAAGTTTAGTTATATTAATATTTTATGTAATTTATTATTGAAAAATGTTTTTAAAGAAATTTGAAATTCAATAATCCTTCTTCTTAGTCAATTTTTAAGTTGCAGAACTCTTCAAAAAACCATATTTAAGCAATTTGGGTTAGTCTTATTGAAATGTTTACCTGCTCATATAAGCATATCATATTTGTTCTATTTGTTTTCTTTAAAGTTTCTTTATCATTTCTTTTAGGAATAAGCTATATGTTTTTATTTGCATCCCTTAGGACCCATATATGCATGATGATATTCTTCGGAAGTAGGAAATTGACTATTAGTTTTGGCAATTATAATTTAGTTATTGATGTGAACAAAAGATTGACAGAATTTAAATTAGGTGATAATGATGTGTTTGAATCTAGAAAAGTTTTCTACACATGCCTTTAAGAAATTAAATGCGCTATTTGAAATTATAAAGCACATTTGGATAAATTCTTATAAATTAGAAAATATAGGATGTTTTGCCATTATTAGTTTTTAGTATGTATGATTTGACATTATTTCATGAACACTAAATGAATGCTTTGTGAATTCACATCTAATACTATCTTAAATTTTTACATTCTTGTTCTTGAAGTTACGTTAGATGATGAAATGATGATGTACTCAAGAGATATCTTGTGCACTGATATTATAGACTTATTGACATTATAGACTTATTTATGGTGAATTTTAGATTACATTGTAGGAAGTGCAACATTTATGTTTTGATTTTCTTGATGAATGTCAAATGCTAAATTATTTATAGTTGAAATTTTCATTACCAGACATGCTTTATTGAATTTAAAACTTCACACTTATTGAAAACAAAAGTATTGTCAATTGTATAATCATGCATATAATGTTATTTATGAGAAATGATAGTGTACTCTATTTTTGGAAAAATATAAAATACACAAATTGCTAGAGCTGAAATTATCTTTTCTGGGATCCTTGGTGGGAAGCAAACCATGATTCCTCGATCCTAGGCCATTTGTGATTATCTTCATGATCGTTGTTCTTGATTCCATGAGAGCTTGAGCCTTTTGTGATGTTGACCTCCTGATTCACAGGCACATAACTTCATTGTGATCTAAATGTCTTTGTTGCACTTGTTTATGACTTTTGTTTTGCAGTCATATCTCTGCGACTATTTTTGCACCTGCCTCTATCTACTATTTTTGTAAGCTGAGCACCATTGGATTATATTAACTGAGTGTGATTGCTTTTAAAAGAAGACCGACCTTGTAATTTTTATCAGAATATGAAGTTTTTAATGATGTATGCTTTTGACATGGTAAACTTATTGTTTTGTTTTCAATCTTGTATGCTTGGTTTGTTGTTTATACTTGATACCTTCGAGTGTAGTGCTTTGGAAACAATATTTGGGGGAAAGTTATCTTCTTGTATTGATGCAAGACTTAGATTTTTTGTATTTGGTGATATTTTACCTTGTTCTCTTTTCTTCTATATAATTCCATATATTGCTTTTACGAGCTTGATTAATTTTAAGCAGATTGGCTACAAGTGGCTTTTTGATTGTGTTGTTAGTTCCAATTGCATATTGTTCCTTTTGTAGCTTCAAATTCCTTCTAAATTTCTTTGATTCGAGCAATCATTAAATTATCTTTTGCTATGGATTTATCATATTTTCGTGTTTACATCAACAAAATACAAGTTCTTAACTTAATTGGTGGTCTTTGGAATTGCAAATTTCAAATATGAAATGTGTGGTTGTATCATTTAGTTGTATTTGTAATCCTAGACCATAAAACATCCTATTTTATACAGATTTGGAATTAAATATACCTCTTTTGTAAATATGCCTGGATGCTCTATCTTTATGATGATAAATCCAATGCTTCTCTATTTGTTTTTATAAGTTTATTTTTCTTTGTTTAGGATAGTTTCTTCCATTGTTTTCTGGATGCTTTCTTAAATATTTTGATTCATGCCGGGTAGGTCGACTATGGAAGCCATACATTTATTAAGAGGTTTGATGGAGAAATATAGAGAAAATAAGGAGGATCTACATATGATATTTATTGATTTAGAAAAAACATTGATAAAGTTCCAAGAGAAGTGCTATGAAGAGTTCTTGAAAAGAAAGGAGTTAATAACGCTTATATTCAAATCATTAAAGATATGTATGCAGGAGCTATTACTTGTGTTCAAATACAAGGTGGTTTGACCAAGTATTTCCTATTTGTTGGGTTACATCAAGATCAGCCTTAAGCCACTTATTTTTGCTTTAGTCATGGATGTTCTCACTAGAAATGTGCAAGAGAGGTACCTTGGTTGTATGTTTTTGTGATGATATTCTTCTTGTTGATAAGACTAGAGAGGGAGTTGAAGGTAAACTTGAATTATGGAGGTCACCTTAGATTTAAAGGTTTTTCGCTTGAGTAGATCTAAAACGGAATATATGGAGTGTAATTTTAGGTAATAGACCTAGTGAGGGGATTGTGATTTTGGCGATCAAGTCATTAATAAGAGTACATGTTTTAGATATCTTGGATCAATTGTTCAGTGTGATAGTGAAATTGATGCGGATATTATCAGCATAATTCAAGTTGGATGGTTGAAGTGGAGGAATGCATCGGGCTTGTTGTGTGATAGAAAAGTACTACTCAAACTCAAGGGTGGTGAGGCCTGCAATGCTTTATGGTGCCGAATGTTGGCCATTAAAAGAGAAGCATAATACTAAGTTAAGTGTGGCAGAGATGAGAATGCTCAGGTGGATGAGTGACTTTACCCTTAGAGATAAGATACAAAATGTGCATATACGTGAAATGGTTGGAGTAGATCCAGTAGAAGATAAGATTAGAGAGAGTCGCCTTAGATGGTTTGGTCACATAAAATGGCGGCATTCCGATGACCCGGTTAGGAGAGTAGAGGTATTAGATTTGACTTATGTTAAGAAAGGTAGAGGCAGACCTAAAAAGACTTGGTTAGAAAATATTAGGAATGACCTTTCTTTATTAGATTTAAACGAGAATTTGACTTTTAATAGAACATAATAGAGAAAAAGGATTCTTGTAGCCGACCCCACGTAGTGGGATAAAGGCTTGATGATTTTGTTGTTGTTGCATGCTTTCTTAAATATTTTGAAACAAGTTGTGGTATTTTTTTTTCCCCATGAGTTCTACCCTTTATTTAAAACTTCAATTTATTTTTTAGTGAGTCTGATGCAGGACTAAGTGAAATTAGTCATGCAAATAGATATTTAGGCTATAAGATAACATCAAAGACAACAAAATAAACTTCATAAAACATTAAGAACAATGAGAAATTTTGAACTATTAGATCATGTGATAGCAAGAAACTAACAAGTAAATACTAAACTTTAAAAAATAATTGAATTAATTTAGACTAGCTAACATGGGTTGGCAGAAGTCCAACATTTAATTAAAGGACTAGTCACTAGAGTTTCCGATCACTCAAATTTTAGTACGGCTTGACAGATTAATCAACACATAATAGATGTACTACTATGAATGAAATGAAAAGATCAATATTTCGTTAGATGAAGAACAAGGGAAGGGTTTGATACTTAGCTCATGACTGGGAGGAATGAAGTCCTTGATGAAATGACGGCTAGGTCCTCCTTGGATTCCCCTTGAAACCCTTACTCTTTGATAAATTGATGTTCTCGTTTCAAAAGTAGATTTTAGGTTTTTGGAAAGGTAGAATAGTGAAGGAGAAAATAAAGTTTTAACTATAGGAGGATTTGGAAGTGGAGAAATCAGCTTGGGAGGTGAAAAGGTAGAGTTGGTTGCTTGGGAAAGAGAGAGAGCTGATTTGGTTTGCTTGGGAAGGGAAGTATTTGGCTTGGGAAAAGAAAAAAGTTAAAGTGGTTGCTTTGGGAAGAGAGAGAATATAATGTTGCTTGCTTGGGAAGGGAAGTATTTGGGTTGGGAAAATGAAAAGTTGAAGTGGTTGCTTTGGGCAGATAGAGAATTAAATGTAGCTTGCTTGGGAAGGGAACTATTTGGCTTGGGAAGAGGAAAAGTTAAAGTGGTTGCTTTGGGAAGAGAGAAAAGTTAAAGCTGTTGTGGGTTCCCAAATGTCACAATTAATTGAGACAAACACTCAATTAATGTGAATTAATTACAAGATTGGGAAGCCCAAGTGTCTAGGGTGTTGGGGAGAAGGTGGAGGCGGGTAGAATGGTTCGAAGAGAGGAAGTGGTGAATTGAGGGCAGCAGGTTGCTATAGCTGTGGGGATTATTAGATAGCTAGAGAAGAAGAAGAAGAGATAGAGAGGGAGATGATATCAACCAAGAGCTCACAAGCTGTTGGGTATTTCTTTGCATTTCTCCAAAGGACTTCACACAAACTCAACTCACCAAGAGAAGAGGAAACATATAAGTAGAAATTTTATATCAAATATTCATCCTCCTTACAAGAGAACAATTGGCCATATGTATAGGCACCAAAACATAAAAGGAATAAAAGACAAGAAGGCCTTTGGTTAAACAACACAAAAGCTCCCTCAAGTGAGGGTTTGTAATAAAATAAATAACATCACATAAGTCTCCTACAACACATGAAAACTAAAAAAAATCTAAAGACTCAATCAAGGCCGTAGATCTTCACCCTCTACGGTGATAAACCTTCCAAGCTCTGATGTCCCCATCAGAGTCTCCCCCCATTAATTTTATAATTTTTTGTTCATGCTTATTGGGTGGGGATTCTCGAACATTTGATTTTGAACTGATCATTAAAAGTGTTTCTGATGGTGTATATGCTGGCATAGGCAAGGATAAGTCTGCTAAAAACTAAACTTTTTTCTTCATCTTAAAACTCTATTTGACATTTATTTACAATTTGTTTTTCTAATTATACGTATTTTTTCAGAATTCTCATGATTTGGACAGGATCCAATTTGAGTTGGCAGTTTTTTGCCGTTTAAATAAGTGGATCTATAGCTAACTGATTATACCTCTTTTTTTTCTAATATCTATTGAAGTTGAAGATTTCACACTTTTTGTATTTAAGTAGATTGAAATTTTAAAGGGCTGTTTCTAATCTCCTTAAGCAGTTTATTTCAGAAAAAGGTTGTGTCTAGGTGCCCATGCTTATCTTGTTGGCTACGTGATTTCTTATCTGATTTAAATTTTTTAAAAAATGTTGGACAATTTTTTCCTGTGTCAGAAGTAGTAAGTTTGTCAATGGAGACATGGCAGCCTATGGAGGAAAATTTATAAATTACCCAAAATTTATTCTGTTGCAAGCTTTTTTAAACATTTTTGTTGCATCTGTTTTATGTCCGTGAATATATGTTTGCCTGCACAAGGTTTGGTGGGACGGTTATATTAATCTTTAGTTGAGCTTTGCTATTAATTGTGTTTTTGAATGCTTGGGTAACTTTTACTAGACTTTGAATATCCCAATATTCTTGTTATGTCTTGCCTATGCGAAATGTTATGCTGTTCAGATGGCAGGTTGATCTATAATAGAGCTTTGGCTATTGTAACCTCATTATCATGTTCTATTTGTGTAGATTAATTTTGAGTCTTGATGTGATATTTTTTTTTTTTTTTTCAATCAGAGCCATCTGAACAGTATTCATGTAGCCGACACCATATAGTGGAATAAAAGCTTGATGTTGTTGTTGTAGAGCCAGGTTATAAAGTTCAATCTGTACTTAGAACTGTATTGTCCATATATCTAAGCCACTTGTTGATAATCCCCTGTTTTGGTTCAGTGTTGCTATAGATTCTTGATTGTGATTTTACCTTTTCAAGAAGAAATTTTTTCTTCTGGATTTTTTTGAGGTAACATGTTGCGGTATTTCCCATTTATTTTGTAAGGCTTTCTTTATTTCTTAGGTAAGCTGGATATATCCACCGTTGTTTATAAAGCTGGTGAATGCATGCAAGAAATTTTAAGAACTTGGAGGGAGTTCGAAGCATCTCAGGATAGTAAAACTGCTGAAGCCTCCCAAAACTATCCTACCCTTGAAATTCGAATACCTGTGGAATATGTTACTTCTACCAATCGCCAGGTGAGTAATCCTTTGGGTTTGTTTGAATTTGGTCATTTGCTGTGGTAAACAGGGATGGAATGATGCAGAACTATTTTACAAGAGCTTGGTGATTAATTAACTACTTTAATGAAAGAATATTTTCTAATGAAGAAAGATGCCATTTCTTTGGCTCTAAATCTTGTTGTGAAAGATGGGGGTGACGTAGTCATATTCAAGGTAACTTGGTCCTATTAAACTGATAAGAGTGAACATCAAGTTGACATGGATGTTAGGGTGCACTCTTTCTTATGATGTGGGATGACTCTAGCCATAATAAAGAACATTTAATAAGTTTCTTTTTCTGCAGAGAATGCTTTGATTGAACTATTTTACCCATCATCATACTTTTTTCCTGGATCTGCATATTTTGGGCCTCTTATTTTTCAAAATATGTATTGTAGTCTCAAAGGTTTGGGAGACACAGATTTTGGCACATTCTATTAGCTCATTTAGGTCCATTATGGTGAAGTCTCCGGTTTTATTTAGTATATAGGTTATCAAAAATCATGGATTTATAAAATTATGTTTCTGCATGCTACAATATGCGCACCAGACTAGTCGATTGCTTTTTGCCCTCATAGTCCATATTTAGTTGGTGTGGTTACCACTATCTCCTATGCATGAATCATGATGTAAGCATAGTTCTGTAATCTAATTATTGTAAACAATGAGATGTTTCCGACTATGTTTGCACAGTTCATTGAAATAGAATTCAAAGTGTCCCTATTATTGTGTTTATTTGTTGCAAATGTTGCCATTGAGGGTGTTATTCTTGTCCAATAACTCTAGGTCAGGGGTGCACAACTTTGGGGGACAGATATATATACAAACGATTCAGATCTTGTTGCAGGTTCTTTCTCGACCAAGCTTAGATAATTTTTCTAACTTCTCATGTAATTATATAATGATATCCTTATCTTCTTTACCAGTTCTCATGCACACTGGATACTGTTGCCCAACATCAGCTCCTCCTCCATCTGCAATTCATGAGTTGAGGACGACAATTCAAGTGCTACCTCCACAAGAATGTAAGTCAATCATCATCAGATATGCTTATTGTCGATATGTATGGTATTGTGGATCATGAGAGGGAGCTGCATTCATCAATTCTTCTATTTGAATACTTTAATATCTGTTATGCGTCAATTTTTCCTTTCATCCATATGGAAAGTTATAAAGAAATCAATTTAATGTTTCTTAGCTGCAACTTTTCACTTGACAATTGCATTCCTCTCATTTTTCTAATTCCTGATGATGAAATAGGAGGTGTGTAAGGGATGCTTGCCTTGGGGTTCTCTGGGGACAATTATCTTAGTTATCTTAGTTATTTTCACATGTTTGAGGAGTGGGTAGAGGGTGATGAGTTGGTCAAATTTTGCAGGGAAGCAATCATCAATAATGTTATGAGGGAACAGGACCAAAATGGTCTCTTAACTCTTTATAAATGATCAAAATAATTCCCAATTATATTAAATGATCATTTTTGTCCCTGAAGTTCTTAAAAAAGAACCAAAATAGTCCCATGGTGGAATTATTTTGGCTCTTTAAAAAGTTGAATGACTAAAATAGTCTTTTAATATAGTTGGGGATAATTTTGGTCTTTCATAAAGAATCATATCAGGAAAAAAAAGTTTGTTGGAACAAACTATGTGCTAGAATTTTCTCTTGAACCGGACAACTAGGCATGCAAACTCACAACTCACACATGAACAATAACCTTGGTAAAGCTGAGAAGGACGAACAATAACTTCTCTGTACGGACAAGAACCTGAATAAGTAAGAAACATGAAAAAATAGCGAATCGTAATAATAATAATAATAATAATAATAACAACAACAAAGAGTTAGTGCGTGGAATAAAAAGAACAAAAAATAAAAGTACATAAATAAAAAGTTGCAAGCGGCGCAGCAGACCATGAACAAAAAAGAAAATAATAGGAACGAAAATTGCAGAAAAATTAAGGTGCAAGAAAATAAAATAACAAAAATAAAAGCGTTAGTAAGCAGTGAAAATTATAATAAAATAAATAAATAAACAAATATTAGTAGTTAAACAGTTTCAAAAAGTCTGTTATTCAAAGATGTGTTTCTTGTTATAAGTCTCTGGAGTTCGAAGAAAATTATTTATTTTATTTTATTTTTTGAATTTTATTTGGTGATGATATCAATCCGAAGTAAGGATACTTTTTCGTGAGTTTCTTTTGATATTATGATTCTATTTTGAAATTGTTTTATTTTTTAGATTTACAGTCTAAAATTTTATGATATTATTTTAGCACTTTGTAAAACTTAACCCAAACAGTTGACCTTAAAATTTTCCTTAAACAACATCTTGCCTTAAACATAAATCAAAGTGTATATTGACTAAACCGGTTAATTTGGTAGACTGAAAATAATATCTTTCAGACAAAGAGTCTCCAAGATAGAAAGATAATTTTTTCAAGGCATGTGAAAAAGAAAAAGATAAGGAAGGCTAAGAAGATAGGAAGAAAGACATGAAAATTTGAATAAAAAAAGTTTATTACAAACCTTGTAAAGTTTTTATTCTATACTCCAAAAGATGTTTCTCGACTAGACAATTATTTTCAAGAGAGAATTCTCTAGCTTTCTCTCCATCACTTCTCTTTCTCTCTCTCTCTCTCTCTCTCTCTCTTTCTCTCTTTCTCACTTACAAGCTCACTATTCTCCAAGTAGCTCTCTAAATGATTCACATTTACAAACCCTCTCTCATTAGTATTTATAGAGTTCTTGCCATAATTATAAACTTAATTTTTATGGTTGAACACATCTTACTATAATTTAAAAGATATAATTACAAATAGTGACAAATATTATTAAAGAAGATTTTTTTTGGAATCTTTCTCTTTTATACTTGTCATTTCAAAGTAACACTTGGATGATGTAGATTCCTTATATTGGGTATGCATAATTTCCTAAAAGTATTATGTATGTATGAAAAGTACTAGCACTATTCATTCGCATAGTACTGTAGGGCCCACCATACTTACAAATATTTGTCTCTGAAAATATCACCTATAGAGTTAGAAAATGTGTACATTAGTTGTATTAGGCGTGATCTTATTCTATTTATAGTATTGGAGATTGTATTTTTGATAAATCAATATTTCTTTTACTGTTGGATAAGAAATATTTAGATCCATCATTTTGTAATTTTTTACTAGTTATATATTTTTGGTTTTATAGTTAAAAGTGTAGAAATAATTTTCAGCTAATGGAGTGTCCAAGTATATTTTCTCTTTCGGGATTTCTCCAACAAGCTTATACATAAAATTATCTTTTTCATATTTTCAGATACAATCAGAACTTTGTACTATAGCTCTCCGATGATCTATTTGGTTTTAAGAGGAATGTATAATCCTAAATCTCAGAATTTCTCCTAAATGTAAATATATAAATGCTTATGGTCAATGATGATCTCGATCTCCATAGTTCTGATTTTATATGTATGTTTGTTTGGTTCAATTCTTTTCTTCATTCTATTTTGGTGGTGTAGAATCAATATAAAATTATATTGCTCTTGTAGGTAAGGATAATATATATATTTTTTATCCTATGGAGTTTTTAGTAAAAAATGTCTATTCTTCTATCTGTTTCAATCTATACAGAGCTTAATAATTCATGAATTAGTAATAATTGAGGGGACATATTTATATTTCTCTAAATAAAATTCTAATTTATATCTAATTCAATAAAAGCTTTGAATATATCATATTTTATCTAGCATGAACATCCTTCATGAAGATTATTCAGATTAATATATTTTGGTGTATCTTTCTAACATTTTTGAGTAAAATTATGATATATTTTTTGGTTGTTGAAATTTCACTTATTTGAAAATAGTCTTGTGCGAAATGTCCTAGAAATTTACTAAGTATTGTAAATTCTATAAAATTAGTTTGATAAATAAGTTCGTATATCTTTTCACCTTTTTCTCTGGGAGGATTATGACCCTTTCTACAATCTTCAAATTACTCGAAGAACTTGATTCTTTGTATGAGTTCTCTTGCAATAATTCTTTTGCTTTTATTAGGAGCTATTTTATTATAGCCATAGTTTCTAGGAAGTATTCTTAATTTTTTTCTTCTTCATCTTTTCTCAAAATTTTGAAACTGTTATAGCATATTAGGGAAGAAAAAACATGATAATTCGACCATTATTTTTCTCTCATTTCTTTGTGAGCCTTATAGAGGTCTTCATATCATTACCAAAAAGTTTTTTTTTTATGCTTTTAGTTGTTTAGCTGCCTCACTCTAACTTGCACATATTTTTGATTTGAGAATCTAATATGTTCCCATTTAATGTATAAGCCTTTCTTAATATAGTCAAAGAATTTTATCTCCTTTTTTGAGCTCAAGGTGTTTTTAACTTCTTTGTTATGCTTAGCAAATATAACAATAAATTCACAATCAGTTCTAATAGAATTTCATTTTTATCAATATTAAAAAAATAATGTTTAAAGATTATAAATTATTGCAAAAATTTCATAATCAAGAGAAGTTAGATATTCATTTTCATTATAAATTTTAGAAGCATATCTACAATTTTTTCTTTATTTTTGTTAGAAAATTTATTTGATTTCCTGATAAGTGTTCCTCCCATTCTTTATTCATAACCATCAAATTCTATAATCAAATAATCTGAATAAAGAAAAAGAGTTAGTTTAGGCAATTTTGAAATCAAATATTTAATTTTCTATACTAGTCCTAAAAATTTTTAACAGAGAAGATGTTTTACTGGTACAAAATATTAAAAATTTGATTTCTAAATTGCTTGAACAAATTCTTTCGCTTGATTAAGATTATTTGATCGTACATTATGATGATTGTGAACTAGGATGAAAATGAACAATTATCAGGAAGCCAAATAATTTTTCTTATAAAAATGAAAAAAAGATCTCTAGATATGTTTTTGAAATTTATAAAGAGAAGATATCTAATTTCTCTTGATTATGAAATTTTTGCTATCATTTATAATCTTGAAACATTTTTTTTTTAATGTGATAAAAATGAAATTGTTATTAGAACTGATTGTGAAGCCATTGTTAGATTTGCTAAGCAGAACAAATAAGTAAAAAATATACTGAGCTTAAAAAGGTGGATTAAATTCTTTGACCATATTGTTAAAAAAGGCTTATACATTAAATGAAAATATATTAAATAAAAAGATAATTTCTACCCAGATTAGTTATTTATGTAATTAAATCTTTGATAAATATCATATTTAATTTTGTTTTCTAAATATTTTGTGAAGAATTTGATCTTATGAATGTTTTCGACGGGATGTAGAACAAAGATAATAAAGGAAAAATATAGCAGAAGAAAAATAAAGAAAAGTAATGCTTATAATTATAAAATAAAAGAATGGTTAGATGAATGACAGAAAGATCTCATTGACAACATATGAAATATAAAAGCTGATTCCACTTCTCTGGGATAAAAGAAACTGATTATAAGTGCTTTAATCAAACCCTTTTTATCAAAAACTAAAAAGAATCCTGAAAAAATTTCCTTCGCTATGCTATCTTTCCTCTTTCCAAATCAGGGGTATATGTAAGCTGAAGTGAAGCAGTTGAACAATTAAAAGCATCAAAGAAATCTTTTTGGAAAGGATATGAATACCTCCAGCAGACACAAAGAAATAAAAGAAAATGTAGGGCCGAATTATTATGTTTTTTCTTATTATATATGCTATGACAACTTCAAAATTCTGAGAAGAGATTAAGGAGAAACAAATAGAGAAGTGATGCATTCATGTTTTTAATTTATTTTGTTTTGATGTAATATGAACAATATTTAGTTATCCAATGTTGAAGAACATCCAATGATCATGGTAGGAGGTGCTTGGACATGAAAAGTCTTGGGTTTGTTGGCATTTGGGTCCTCTTTGTCCTTTGGGCTGTTTGCTGTATTTCTGTTTGGGACTTGGCTATTCTCGGGTTGGGCATTGGCTACTTGGTTTTGAGCTTAAAAGGTTGGGTTCTACTTGGTGCTAGCTCATTAATGCTTGA